GTGTCTTTAGAAAGAACAGGGAAAAACACAAAGTGTTCATCCAAAATAGTGGTAAGGGTCTTCAAGATATTTTATTATTATTTACATTACCTAGGAGACAGGGAGATGACGTCGCATCTTCCAATCACTTTCAGCCTGCACAGTAGACTGTGCAACAGACTCTGCCTCCCTGAGCAAGGGAACAATGAGAACTGATTTTAAAAAATTAATTAAAAAACTAAAATAAAAGCAGCAGGGCAGCAGTCTGCAAGCCACCACATGACATAAGGAAGTGAACTGAGTGGTTACTGCCAGCATACCTGTGCTCAAGTGGTTGGTCTTACCATTATCAAAACACCTTAACTACAGAGAAAAAAAATCCTTACCACTCTTCATCACACATACGTACGTGTGTGTGCACACGCGCGCGCGCGCACACACACACACAAAAGGTAACAAGCTGGGTGGAGTGAGGAATGAAAAAGGGTTGACCACAAAAATTTCATACCCAGGAACTGTGCAAGAGAAAGTCTCCATGAAAAAATCTCACCAGAGACACCAGCTTGTCTTTCAGAAATCAATGGCCTACACCATTAATTAAGGAGAAACCGACAGATAATAAGTATATTTCCCATTCTTCTGACTAGTCCTATCCAAGCAGATACCCAAAGGGGGACACCAAAAAGGTTACAGATTAATTAATATTTGGCAGTCCCTCTATATCCCAAGATTTACGCAGTACGTGGGAGATAAGTGGCTGGGTAAGAGGGCAAAGGAGTTCTAAATTATATGAGACTTATGCTTTAAATCGGAATACATTAGATTAGAGCTTTTTTTTTCCTTTTCCTAGACATGGTCTCGCTATATAGGTGGGCCTGCCTCTGCCTCCCAAGTACTAGGATTAAAGGGATTTTTAACAGCTATAAATGATAGAAAAGCTATCCTTATTCATGGGGCAAGGATGGAAAACAGAAAGATCATTCAAAACAGACTAAAATAGTGAATGATGAACATTAAAATTGTCTTACGTTTATTGTCACTAGCTCAGACTGCTTAATAATCCAATGGCAAATGGACCTGCATAACCACTCTTAGTAACAGAAGGGAACACCTGACATGGAAATTCTCAGGGAGGATTTACTGTACTGGCTAAGCTGCATCAGAAGCCCTGAGATCACTCCTATTGCACTGCTAACAACTATCTTTTCCTCAAGAAGAGGCTAAACAAAATCCAGAACTGAGAACTCATGGTTACACTATAAGCAGCAAGGTTGACTAAAGGTATAAAATCACAATTTTTGGAGTGTGAAGTTATCAGATTGACAAGCCATATTAAAAGTTCTATTTGGAAACTATTTGACTCTAAAAAAATATTCAAATCCTAAATGACTCTAAATTTCTTTTACATTCAAGAAAAATAATTTTTTAAAAAATCACCAAAACACTATCTTTTAAAAATCAAAGCCATTTACCAGGTAGTGGTGCTGCATGCATGTCTTTAATCCCAGCACTCAGGAAGCTGAGACAGGTGGATCTCTAAATTTGAAGTCAGTCTGATCTGCATACACAGTGAGACAGGACAGCCAGGGCTACAAAGAGAAACCCTGTCTTGAAAACAGAAAGAAAGAAAGAAAGAA